CGACGTCGCCCAGGCGTGATTCTGGACTGCGGCCGCCACGAGGTCGGGAACGGCAAGAAGGAGGACGACGACTGGTGGCTGGAGCTCTATGTGCTGCTCTCGCGCGCCACGCGCCACGAGGACCTCCTGCTCATGCGGGCGCCGCGCATCGAGTTCTTCCTGGCAGGGCCGCCGGAGGGCTTGCGGAAGCAGCTGGAGCAGTTTGCGGCGCGCACGAAGCGTTGCAGGAGGGAGGCGACGGCCCTCGCCGGGGAGCTCGGCTTCACCGAGTTTATCCGCGAGGCCTGACCTGAGGAGCGTCCCCCCCGAGCCGCGCCTTCTCTCGACTGCCCGACTCTTTGTTTGGCCTCGCGCCGCGGACGACCCGCGCGCGTCGCTGGGACCCTCTCGGGGCGACCTGCGCGCGTCGCGGGAACTCCGTGCTGCGGGGCGCCCGGCGCCTCGTTCGCCCGTCGTCGCTCTGCCCAGCAGTCAGAGCCTTGCCCGCTATCAGCCAGCCAGTTAGCTAGCCAGCTCTCTGCCCCGAGCAGCGGACGACCCGCGCGCGTCGCTGGGACCCCGCCTGGGGCGACCGGCGCGCGTCGCGGGGACTCCGCGCTGCGCTGCGCCCGCGGCCTTTGATTTTTGGAGTGCGCGGGCAAAGAGGGAGGAAAAGGAGGGACGAAAGCGGGCGCGATCCTCGCAAGGGGCGTGCCGACATGGGCGTCGCGGCGTGCGGGCGCTGCCGTCGGGGTTCCCGCGGAAGCTGCCTGCGGCGGCCACGCCCAGAGTCACGAGCGTTCGGACAGGCATGCCCGAACCATTCACATTCATATACATTTACATTGGGCGTGGCCATGATGGCATCCACGCAAATCTACTCACTCCCACGCAGACTCATTCACACTCAGACTCACTCACGGTCTGACTCGCCCGCGTTCAGTCTCTCGTAATTCGACCTGTCGTATTCCTTTGCATTGTGTACCCCGCCACAGTTCGGCACACCCCTCATACGGTTCGTGGCCTCATAGGGAGCGCCACCGAAGAAGATATTCACAATTGCGGTACTCACAACTGCATATGGTTGGGTCCTTCGCCAGGATAATTTTCGGTTTCGTGCGTGGTTTTTTCGCCAAATGATGAAGGATGCTCCCCGATGGTCCTCGCCGAAGGAAAACTGCACACGTCCGAGCGATGCCAAGAGCATTGCCCGCAGCGTTCGCGTGACACATGGTGTAATACAAACACAGACTGAGCGCTGTGTTGGACAAACGAAAGGCGAATTAGGCGGCAGGCCCGTGCGGTAAAGAAAATATAACTACTATGGGAAAAACGCTGAGAGTCCAGAAGGTCCTCCTCCTCCTCCTCCTCCTCCTCCTCCTCCTCCTCGTCCTCCTCCTCCTCCTGGTCCTCCTCCTCCTCCTCCTTTGACGAGGCTTCGGGTTGCGCGCAGACAGCCGCCCTGGGATGTCGAGACCGCCCCGGGCTACTCGGGGGGGCCAGTTGAGGCCAGCCGGGGCCACATCCGGAGGCTGCCTGCGCGCATCCCGAAGCCTCACCAGGGACGGCCCCCACCCACATGGTGGACCTCTCCGGGCGCCATCTCTTACATGAAGGGGAACTGGAACACACAAATAAATACACACAAATAAAAATATCCCGCATATTTTTCCATATTTTCTGGGTTTTTGTCTTCCCCACCACTTCCCATATGTTTGCATATTTTCCTGGGAGTCGACGATTAATTGTGTCTGTGTGTTTCTTTCCCTCCTGATTACAGTCGGCCCGTATCATCAGGATGCGCGATAAGGATGCAGGGGCCCTGGACGCCCATTTTGGGAGCTCTTCGAGCGGGGCGCGGCCAACGCAAGCGGCCAAGAATGGGCCGAGGAGGTAATGCTGCAAGGGGGTACCCTTGGGCAGGTTGCCCATCCTTGCTATGCGGGCTGACTGTACTAAAGGGGCCATGGGACACGCACAGAAATACACACAAATCCCAGGATTCCCCCTATCTTCACACATTGTCGGGGTTTGCGTCATCCCCCCCCCCAGTTTCCCAGATGCTCCTGGGACTCGACGACTCCTGGTGTCTATGCGCGGTTTTTTTCCCTCCTGACGTGTACCCGCCGCCGACCGCTGGCCTTCCAGCGGCCCACCCTCGGCCGAGAGGAAGCGCTCGCCAAGCCCTCGGCCCCCCGCACGGCGAGCCACCGAGCCGCCGAGCCGCCGAGGCTCGAGCCTCGCCTCGGGCGGCCGGCGGCCGCTCCTCGCACCTGGCACTGCCCGACTGGCAGTGGCCCGGAGGCCCTTCACGCCTGGGGCCCGGAGACGCCCTCGCGCGGTGCAGGCGGCACGACGGGAGGCCCCTCGCCACCTGCGGCCTCCCTGGGGGCCGGCACCTGGCCATCGGGGCCGTCGGGGTGAGGGACCAGTCCTAGGAAGGCACCAACTATACACCAACACCGATCCTGGCCAGGATCACCCTGGGCCCAGGATCGGTGTATACGCCCTCCTGCCTTGCGCAAGAAGGCATATACACCGATCCTGGGCCCAGGGTGATCCTGGGCCAGGATCGGTGTTGGTGTATAGTTGGTGCCCTCCGAAGTCCCGGGGAAGGGGTCCAGACCTCCTGGGGGGCCGCGTGATGGAAAGAGTCATGACGTCGGGGGTCTGGGGGGGCGGGGGGCTCTCTAGCAGACGCGCCTTCACCTCGCTTTTGGGGTCCAGCCCCTGTGTAGGGGCTTGCCCCAAACACGGTGATGTCGTGGCCTTCTCCCTGCGCAGTACCTGGGAATCCTGGCCCATTTCCCAGGGCCAGCTTCTCGTCAGCATCAGCAACAGCATCAGCATCAGCATCATCGTCATCATCTTCATCACCATCATTAGCATCAGCATCAGCATCAGCATCATCATCTTCATCAGCATCAATATCATCATCGTCGTCGCCGTCACCATCATCAACATCATAGTCAGCAGCAGCATCATCGCCATCCCCATAATCATCATCAGCATCATCATCAACATCATCACAAACAACAACATCAACATCATCATAATCGTCAGCATCATCATCAGCATCAGCATCATCATCACCATCGTCGCCATAACCATCATCATCATCAGCATCATCATCATCATCATCATCATCATCATCATCATCATCACCATCACCATCACCATCACCATCATCATCATCATCATCATCATCATCATCATCATCAGCATCATCATCATCATCATCATTAGCATCTTAATCACCATCATGCACAACAGCATCACCACGACCATCAGCATCCCTCTCCTCCGTCTCCTCCTCCTCCTCCTCCTCCTCCTCCTCCCCATCATCATCATCATCATCAGCAGCAGCATCATCATCACCATCGTCATCAGAATCGTCAGCCTCATCATCATCAGCATCATCATCACCATCGTCGTCATAATCATCATCATTAGCATCATCGTCATCATCATCATCATCATCATCATCATCATGCGCAACAGCATCACCGCTGTCATCGGCATCCTTCTCCTCCGTCTCCTCCTCCTCCTCCTCCTCCTCCTCCTCCCCATCATCATCAGCATCATCATCATCAGCAGCATCATCATCAACATCAGCATCAACATAAACGTCAACATCATCATTCAGGAATATGTCCCTCCCTCCTTCCATCCCTCCTTCTGCCTCTCTCCCTCTCTCGTTGTTCCTTTCTGTTGTTGTTGTTGCTGCTGCTGCTGTTGTTGGTGTTGCTGCTGCTGTTGTCGTCGTCGTCGTCGTTGTTGTTGTTGTTGTGTTGTTGTTGTTGTTGCTGTTGTCGTCGTTGTTGTTGTTGGTGTTGTTGTTGTGTTGTTGTTGTTGTTGTTGTTGTTGTTGTTGTTGTTGTTGTTGTTGTTGTTCTCTCTCGCTCTCTCGCACCCTCTCTCACTGTCAAGCGGGGCTACCGAAAAGGGCTCAGAGGACCGTTGCCACTTCAACGTCGCCCTCGTTCTCCTCGTCTTCTCCGCGTCCCCCCCCTCCTGCTGCTGCTCCTCCTCCCTGCTCCCACCCGTCTGCTGCTCCTTCTGCATCTGCCTCCCCCTGGCTCTCCGTGATGGTCCTCCTCCCGCGTGTCATCCGACTCGTCGTCGTCGTCGTCGGTCGTCGTCATCTTCGTCGTCGTTGTCGTCGTCGTCGTCTTCGTATTCCTCATCTTTGTCTTCCTCCTCCTCCTTCTGCGCCTCCTGTGCCCATTCCGACCATGACACACCCCCACTTCTAATGCTCCTGGTCACTCCTTCCTCCTCAATCCTTTCCGAACCATCTAATTACGCTCCTCATTCTCTCTTCCCTCCTCAATGAACCTGCGCCTCGCACGCCTCCCTCCACGCTCCTTCTTCATCCCTCGTCCACCCTCTATCAATCCTCCGCTCTCCTCGCTCCCAACCCTTGATCTCATCCCTCTTCCTCCCTCGTCATCCTTTTTCCCCTAACTCCGACAACTCGCACCCTATGAGAAGGAGGAAACAAAGGAGGAAAGCGAGAAAGACGACGGGGGCGGCGACGACGAAGACGACGGAGAGAACGATCACGACCCCCAGAAGACGTCGGAGGCCTCCGAAAGCACAAGGCCCTCATCCTCACAAAAAAATGCAGGACTCGACGACTACGAGGACAAACGACGGAGACAGCGGCTACGACGAAGGTGGCGACGACGGACGAGGGCGGCGATGACGACGGCGACGACGACGACGGCGACGGCGAAGACGACCCCAGAAGTCTCGACGCCTTCCCTGGGGGGGCAGCCTCTCACACTGGATCCACCCTCGACGGTCCCGGGGCCCGAGACCGACCCCATGAGGCCGACATGGGGGAACCAACGACAGCAGGAGCGATAGACCCACGATCGATCCAAGAGCGATCGACGACGGCGGCGACGGCGGCGGCGAGGGCGGCGGCGGCGACGACGCTGTCAAAGGCGACGACGACGACGACGGCGGCGACGACTGAGGCGACGATGGGCAGTGGCGGCGACGGCTTCGCGCGCCTCCATCGCACTCTCTGGCTCGCCGCCGGGTGCCCGCAGCCAGTGGGCGGGCCACCGCGTCTCCACGCGGTGGTCCTCCCCTCGACGCCCCAGCGTCGGCGATCCCCGAGCGGCGTCGGCGAGCGCGTCGTCGGCGAGCGCGCCGGCGCCGAGCGCCGGCGCCGAGCGCTGCCGATGAATGCCGCCGTCGAGCGCCGCCGTCGAGCGCCGCCTCTGAGTGCTGGCGCTGAAAGCCGCCGCTGAACGCCGCCGCGGAACGCCGTCGCCGCCGCCGAGCGTCGCCGACGAGCACCGCCGATGAACGCCGCTGATGAACGCCGTCGCCGAGCGTCGGAGAAGAGACTGGAAAGGATGAGGAGTAGCAGCAGGAGCAGGAGGAGCCTTCTGCCCAACTTGCTAACCCCGCTGAGAACAACATCATCTGTAGACTCGACTCCGTTGCCCTGAGCCGTCGAGAATCGAGGTTCGAGGTTTTTCAACTGTTGTTTGGCCTCTTGGGGCGCCCTCGTCGCCATGGCAACGCGTCCATCGAAATCATACAAGAGCCAGTTCAGGTGCTGCCCCCTGCGCTCGGCTCGCTCAAATCCCCGACCGACCTAAAATCGAGATCATGCCGAATCCGCTGGCCGCCCCCGTCCCCTCTAGCGTGAAGGAATGCTCCGTGGAGCCCTCCGCTTCAGCATTGAATGATCGGCGGCTTTTCGATCGCCAGACCTCTGCCCAACGGGCGGATTATGGTCCACTGTCGCCGCTCAACCTTGAACGCCAGCAACGGGGCCGCCGCCGCGTCGACACGACGTGAACCTGCTGTGGATGGTCCTCCTCCCTCATGGCGACCTTCGTTCGAGATCTGACCGAATCCGCCGGCCGCGCCCGCCCCCTCCAGCGTGAGGGATCGGAGAGTGATGGCAGACGAGATGGGCTGAGGACGTGCCGAGGAAGCGGGGTTGTAATGGCAACCCGTGATGGGCTGGAGGAGCGAAGATATTCACGAGCAGAATTCAGCTTGTGAGGGTCTGTGCGGATTTCTTGGGCCCACACTGGACCCCGCTGGCGGCGCCCCGCCACCAGCGCGCTCCGCGCGACAGGGAGTGGGGCCTGGCGCCAGTCCACGAAGTCCGCGCGGACCTCTCACATGCAACTTCGCCTATGCTAGGGCGAGCGTGATACGCTTGGCTCAAGCTGAATTCCATGATTTCCAGAAGATCTGGCGGCCCTCCTTTCAACTGTCCGTGCGGACCGCTACGAAGTCTGGGAATTCCGGGCACACTCGCAAGTCTGGTACACGACCTCTTGCTCCTCTGATCTGCGAATCCTTACTATGGGTTCTGACTGTACGCTCGAAATGCGGCCCGATGCGCTGACCGCGCCCGCACCCACCAGCGCGAAGGAATGCTCCGTGGGCCAGACGGGCGCGCGCTCTGGCCGGACGGCGCAGAGCAGGAGCTCCTCCGCGCCGTCGCCGCCCCCAGCGGGCATGGACACGCTCAGCTGCCACGCGGGGCCTCGGCACTCCTCCTCCTCTTCCTCCTCCTCCTCCTCCTCCTCCTCATTGTCCCTGGGTGCGTGGCTGAAGTGGGGATCCGTGGCGAGGGTTCTGCTTGTTGCGCTGTTGCGTTGAACTCTCACTACGGAAGAATAATTTTGTTGATACCCCCCTCCGGTGCACATTGTATTATTCAATTGAAACGCCCCTTCCGGCGCTCGTACCTTGTTTTTGCATCAAAGAAAATCATCCTCCTCAAACTGGGCCCCAGGCCACCGGTTTACATCAAGAACGGCTCCCGCGTGATACTTCCGCGAAATTGACTCCCTTCCCCTGCTCCCGCTTGAGACTTCCTTGCAATTTACTCAAGAATCGCGCTCCAGCCTGAGACTTCCTCGCAATTAACTCGGGCGCCGCGCTCTTGCCATTCAGGAATTGCGCGTTCGCTGGGGACTCCTCATGTTTACTTAGAAATCGCTCTCTCGCTGGATACTTCCTGGCAAATCACGCAGAGCTCACGATCGATCCGCCCGTTCGGCCAGCCCGTCAGGGTCATGCCTTTCGTGCCCCATGCTTGCTCGCGCCCTTTGTGGCTCATTGCTGCCCTTCGTGGCCCCTCCCCATGTGGCCCAGTCGCTGCCCTTCGTGGCCCCGATGCTGCCCTCAGTGTCCTCTCGCTGCTCTTTGTGGCCCATCTCTCTCTCTCTCTCTCTCTATCTCCATATATATATATATATATACACACGTACATACGCCCTTCGTGGCCCCCAGTCGCTCGTGCCCTCAGTGGCCCCATTGCTGCCTTTCGTGGCCCCGCTGCTGCCCTCAGTGGACCCCTCGCTGCCCTCTGTGGCCCATCTGTATATATATATATATATATACTTATATTCTTATTGCCCAGAAACCGCCCCCCCACCCCTTCCCTAAACCGGACCACCACCACCCCCAGGACACTCCAGACGCCCCTGCCCTCCACCCAACGAACGCCCTGGACGCCCTTCCAGAGTCCTGGCGGCCTTCCGGGCAGTTGGACGCCCCTGCCGATCGGAGCCCACGGGCCCAAAACGGGCCCCAAGACGGCCCATCAGCGCTCAAAGAAGACCCACTACACTATGGTGTCAAGACGGCCCACGAGGCCCCCAAGACGGTCCAAAAGGCCCCAGAAAGTACCCCCCAAAGCCAAAAATCGCCCCGTACGCTTTTGAGATATTAGTTTTTTCTGCTTTCGCAGCGTCCACGGCATCCCCAGAGACTCTCAGGATCGCCCCAGGACGGCCTCCGAGGCCTCTATGAGCGGCCCAGGGCGGCCCAAAAGAGCTCCAAGACGGATCAAAAGAAGCCCAAGGCGGCCCAAGAGGGGCCCCAGAGGGCCCTGAGAACTCCCAAGAGAGCCCCAAGAGAGCCACAGGAGGCCCCCAAGAGTGTCCCAAAAGGGCCCCCGAAAAGCCCCTGGCCGGCCTGGTCTCGCAAACCGGCCAAAAGAGGGTTCCGGGACGGCTCCAAGACGGCCCAAAACAGCCCCAAAAGGAGCCCGAGAGTCACCAGGAGCTCAGACGCGAGCCCACACCGTCCCACTGTAGCTTCCAGCAGTTCTCTTACACTCCACGAGGCCGTAGTTCGCAGGACGGTGGTTCGAAAGGACCTCAGAAGCCCCACAAGCGTCCAGGACCCTTCCAGGCATTCAAGAAGCGACCAATCGTCGCCGCCGCCGCCGTCGTCGTCGTCGTCGTCGTCGTCGTCGTCGTCGTCCTACGGAGGAGCTGGAGGTCTCGGCCTGTCATCGCGGGCTGCCACCTCATTATTGAGCAACCCGCTTACTGACGCCCCGAGCGCTCGCTCCCGCGGCCTGCCCGAGAGGAGGAGCAGGAGGAGCAGGATGAGGAGGAGGAGGACGACGACGACGACGACGAGGAATAGCCAAGTTTCTGAGCGCTTCTGCTCCCATCGGGAGCTTCCAGAGGCCCTCGAGAGACGAGCGCCCCATCTGCAGTTCAGACGAGAGCCCCATCGTCGTCGTCGTCGTCGCTGTTATCGGCGTCATCGACGTCGTCGTCGTCGTCGTCGTGGTGGCGGTGGTGGTGCTGGTGGTGGTGGTGGTCCTCGCGATCGTGGTCGTATTCGTGGTCACGATGCCCCCTCTGCTGAAACACGCGATGACTTATACTTATTGCTTTTCCGAGAAGCGTCCAGAACACGGCGCAAGGCGCGAAGTGCCAGGGCAGTCTTGTATATATATATATACACATAGATATACAGATACACACATATGTGTACGCCCTTCGTGGCTCCGAGTCGCTCATGCCCTCAATGGCCCCATTGCTGCCCTTCGTGGCCCCAGTGTAGCCCCGTGTGCCTTCCCCCCGCTGCCCTCAGAGGCCCCCTCGTTGCCCTTCGTGGCCATATATTCGCCCTTCGTGGCTCCCAGTCGCTCGTGCACTCAGTGGCCTCATTGCTAACCTTCGTGGCCCCAGCGTAGGCCCTCTGTGGCCCATATATACGCCCGTCGTGGCCACAGAAAGGACCCCCCAAAAGCCAAAAATCACCCCGTGCGCTTTTGAAGATATTCATTTTTCCGCTTTCGCAGCGTCCACGGCATCCCCAGAGACTCTCAGGATCGCCCCAGGACGGCCTCCGAGGCATCTATGAGCGGCCCAGGGCGGCCCAAAAGAGCTCCAAGACGGATCAAAAGAAGCCCAAGGCGGCCCAAGAGGGGCCCAGAGGGCCCCGAGAACTCCCAACAGAGCCCCAAGAGAGCCACAGGAGGCCCCCAAGAGTGTCCCAAGAGGGCCCCCGAAAAGCCCCTGGCCGGCCTGGTCTCGCAAAACTGCCAAAAGAGGGTTCCGGGACGGCCCAAGAGGGCTCCAAGACGGCCCAGAACAGCCCCAAAAGGAGCTCGAGAGTCACCAGGAGCTCAGACGCGAGCCCACACCGTCCCACTATAGCTTCCAGCAGTTACACTCCACGAGGCCGTAGTTCGCAGGACGGTGGTTCGAAAGGACCTCAGAAGCCCCACAAGCGTCCAGGACCCTTCCAGGCATTCGGGAAGCGACCAAGCGTCGTCGCTGCCGCCGTCGTCGTCGTCGTCGTCGTCGTCGTCGTCGTCGTCGTCGTCGTCGTCATCGTCATCGTCGTCGTCGTCCTACGGAGGAGCAGGAGGTCTCGGCCTGTCATCGCGGGCTGCCACCTCATTATTGCGCAACCCGCTTACTGACGCCCCGAGCGCTCGCTCCCGCGGCCTGCCCGAGAGGAGGAGCAGGAGGAGCAGGATGAGGAGGAGGAGGAGGAGGACGAGGACGAGGACGACGAGGAATGGCCAAGTTTCTGAGCGCTTCTGCTCCCATCGGGAGCTTCCAGAGGCCCTCGAGAGACAAGCGCCCCTATCGTCGTCGTCGTCGTCGTCGTCGTCGTCGTCGTCGTCGTCGTCGTCGTCGTCGTCGTCGTCGTCGTCGTCGTCGTTGTCATCGGCGTCGTCGACGTCGTCGTCGTCGTCGTGGTGGTGGTTGTGGTGGTGGTGGTGCTGGTGGTGGTGGTGGTCCTCGCGATCGTGGTCGTATTCGTGGTCACGATGCCCCCTCTGCTGAAACACGCGATGACTTATACTTATTGCTTTTCCGAGAAGCGTCCAGAACACGGCGCAAGGCGCGAAGTGCCAGGGCAGTCTTGTTTGTGTATATATATACACATATGTGTACGCCCTTCGTGGCTCCGAGTCGCTCATGCCCTCAATGGCCCCATTGCTGCCCTTCGTGGCCCCAGTGTAGCCCCGTGTGCCTCCCCCCCGCTGCCCTCAGAGGCCCCCTCGTTGCCCTTCGTGGCCATATTTTCGCCCTTCGTGGCTCCCAGTCGCTCGTGCACTCAGTGGCCCCATTGCTGACCTTCGTGGCCCCAGCGTAGGCCCTCTGTGGCCCAGATATACGCCCGTCGTGGCCCCCAGTCGCTTGTGCCCTCAATGGCCCCATTGTTGCCCTTCGCGGCCTCCGTGTAGCCCCGTGTGACCCCCCCACGCTGCCCAATGTGGCCCCCTCGTTGCCCTTTGTGGCTCATATGTTCGCTCTTCGTGGCCCCGAGTCACTCGTGCCCTCAGTGGCCCCATTGCTGCCCTTCGTGGCCCCAGCATAGCTATCTTCCTCTCCCAAATGTCGCTCTCTCTCTCTCTCTCTTGTTTCTCTCTCTCTCTCTCTGTTTGTTTCTCTCTCTCTCTCTCTTTCTCTCTTTCTCTCTTTCTCTCCTTTCTCACTCCTCTTGCTCTTTTAGGGGCTGTGCCCAATACACATGGCAGGTCAGGTAGATGTACTCCCCCCAGAGGGGGCACGATCGAAGACGAAGAGGACGTGGCGAGGTATGTGCGAGCAGATAAGAGCGAAGACTTTCAACTGACTGAACTCCCATTTCTGAAAAAAAAAATAATTATTGCTGATCCCCCACCTGTGCATACTGTTTTTTCTCAATCGAAGTGTGCCCCTCGACGATCGTACCTTGTTTTCTTTAATCAAAGAAAAGTTTGAGGCTCTCGCTTGGGACTTCCTTACCATTTATTCAGGAATCGCTCTCCCTGCGCTCTGGAATAGCGCTCTCGCCGGAGACTTGCTTGCAATCTACTGAAAAACAGCGCCCTTGCGTTGGATTTTTTTTTCAATTTATTCAAGCGCCGCGCTCCCGACACCCAGGCACCTAGGAGTCGCGCTCACGCTGAGGACTCCCGCACAGATTACATAGGAATCGAGATCTCGCTGCCCTTCGTGGCCCCGTTGCAGCCCTTCGTGGCCCCCTCGCTTTGTTTCGTGTTCATGTTGCAGCCCCTCGTGGTCCTGTCGCTGCCTTTCGTGGCCCCGTTGCAGCCCCTCGTGGCCTCCTCGATGCCCTTCGCGGCCCCGTTGCAGCCCTTCGTGGCCCCCTCGCTGCCCTTCGTGGCCCCGTTGCATCCCTTCGTGGCCCCCTCGCTGCCCTTCGTGGCCCTGTTGCATCCCTCCGTGGCCCCCTCGCTGCCCTTCGTGGCCCCATTTATGCATGCCCTTCGTG